GCTATGGTGAGCGTTCACCACAGATTATACCGATACTGATACTGATACTGATATGAATACTGATATTGATACCGATACTAATAATGATACTGATACTGGTACTGATATTGGTATTGATACATATTGTGGTACTGATACTGATACTTATACTGATACCGATAATAATATTGATACGGATGCTTATACTTATGTTAATACTAATACTAATACTAATACTAATACTAATATTAATACTAATACTAATACTAATATTAATACTAATACTAATACTAATACTAATACTAATACTAATACTAATACTAATACTAATATTAATACTAATACTAATACTAATACTAATACTAATACCAATACTAATACTATTACTAATACTAATATTAATACTAATACTATTATTAATACTATTACTAATACTAATATGTTAATATTGTTAATGTTAATGCTAATACTAATTTTGATGCTAATGCTAATCTAGATAAGCTAATTATTATGCTAATGCTAATTATGATTGTAATTCTAATATTATCCAAATCCTTATCGTATTCCTAATTCTATTCATAACACTAATAATAGTTCTAATCGTAATCCTAACCATAATCCTATTCCTAACACTAATCATAAGCCTAATAATTTTAATACTAATAATGCTAATGTTAATTCTAATTCTAATCTTAATTATAATTCTAATCCCAATCCTAATGTTAATCATAATCCTAATGCTAATGCATGTCACTAATTATCGTACTAAGCATAATCATAATCTTAATTATAATTCTAATACTAATATTAATCATAATCCTAATATTATATTAATCCTAATTACAATCTGAATCCTATTTCTAGTATTAATACTAATACTAATTCAGAGAATCTTAATTATAATTATAATTATAATTATAATTCTAATGCTAATATTAATCACAAATTCTGATTTTGCAATAATTCTTTTTGCAATGATCTATTATTTAGTATAAAAAAGAACATTTATATTCAATCTCGAATCTTTATATCAAATTTCTTATGTGTGGTAGTTGAACCATAAAAAGACACATATTAAATATATTAGAAATTAATATTTAATCATATAATCAAACTGACATTAAAATTATTTAAAATATTATAAGGGTATAAACAAACGTTAAGACGTAAAAGAACAATAATCATTATTAATAAGATAAATTATGAAAATCCTTCTGAACTTAGGCTAAATTATAGAAAACACCTCCACTTATCGGTGATTATACCAAAACCCCCCTGATGTTTGTTTCTGTCTTACACGACCCCCTTATGGTGTGATTTTTTTACGGATTCTTTTTTATTCCATGTAATGTCCCAAAAAATATGGAGTCTACCCTTGCAGACGTGACATTTCTTTTATCGTACTTTTTAAACTAAAAAATTACCCTCAGGGTTGTCACGGTAATAATAAAAATTTGTGAAGGTGTTATTTAAGAAGAATAAAGATTTCGTGTAAAGTTCACGTAAGGGTAATTTTTGTCTTTAAAAAGTACCATAAAGAAATGCCGTGTGTGCAGGGTAT